GCACACACACACACGTCTCTGCCAGCCTTTAATCCACCCTGCTTTTGCTTCTGTCACAGCAAGGACACCTTCCACCACCCTCGTCCAAACCAAACGCATTCAGTTTATTACTTGGAAGGCAAGCTACAAGCGATGCTGCAGGCCCAACATCTGGCTTCTTTTTTTAGTCTCCCTCTTCCCAAAGCCCACGTGGTGTTTTTCTATGTGTTTCAAAGCTGGGATTTGTTTGTTTTTTCAAAACCAAGAGCTCCAATTCCAGCATCTGCGAGAAACCTTACAGGAAATAACCCGTGTGCACAGAAGTAGTTGAGTGAACATGCCATAGCAATATTTATCTTTCCCTTCTGTGTAAGAGTATGGACAGCACGCAATGCTATTGCTCCTGTCACTGCATCCAAGCAGAAATGAGACAGGAGAGTGCAGGGTGGAGCTGCAGGATCAAAATGCTTCACTGAGGCTGAGTGGGGAAAGGGAGTGGGAGAGGTGGACACTGAGCAGGTCAGATTTGGCGGGTTTAGGTGGCAATAGGGAGCAAGGTTTTGGCAGAGGGCAGCCAGGAAGGGTATGAGGAGACAGGCAGGGGGTGATCAACAGTGGAGACTTTGCTAGAGGTGGGATAGGGCAGAGAAAACACAAGGAGGCGGCTCTGAGTAGCACAAAAGGAGCCAGAAGCTCTAGGGTGAAAGTCCACAGAGGTGCCATTCACACACACAGAGAGCTGGTCCAGAAGTATGCTTTCTCTCAGCATATTTCCCCAAAGGGAGGAAAGTTGGTTTGGGGCAGAACCCACACAAGAGAAGGATGCCAATCAGTTAAACCATCCCCAGTGAGACCAAGCCAGCAGCGGGTTCATCTAGGGCTTTGCAAGTCATTTTGGTGGAAGACTTAGAATTTCCAAGCTGAATTTCTGGCAGAAGTGCTAATATTTAACCACATTTAGGAGGTCTAGAAATGCCAGACATGTGAAATCTGCCCACTTAATGACCAGTGTTGAACAGTCTCCTAAAGGAACTAGGGAACTTTTAAAATGCGATAGATAAAAGCTCTGAAAAAGTCCCTATGGAGGAATCCTGTGGGCTGGGAGCAATGAGGACAAGATAGATGTGGGTAACGCCACTGGCCTTTTAACCAGCAGCCTCCTGAACAAAGCTCCCCCTCTCATTTCAGTGGCAGAGATTCTCACCTCCTGCTGACTCCGTTCACTCTGGACTCGCACTGTATTATTTTAGTCCATTTTTACATGCTTTTGGACATTCCAAGTTGCATTGAGTCAAACTCACATAAAGAAAAGATTATATTGATGGATTTGGCTATATTTGCTCTGACATGCTGTTTAAAGGGAAAGAAACACTTCAGCTGGGCTTCTTAGTTAAACAGGGTTGAGGAAACCGTGTACAAGAATTCAGACCCTTAAGACATTACCCAGTCTTGAAGAAACTGGCCCTCTCCTCTTGCCTGATGGAGACATTCAGTGATGCCCTGTGCATGTTCTGAAAATCAGAAGAAAATAACTGTGCTTTCAGTTATTGTTTACTGATCACTTGTCGTGGTTTAAACCCAGTCAGGTAACTCGTTCACTCACTCCCCCCTTTCTTTCCCTCCCCCTACTCCCGGAGGGACGGAGAGGAGAATCGAAAACAATGCAACTCCCACGGGTTGAGATAAGAACAGTTTAGTAACTAAGGTATAACACAGATCACTACTGCTATCACCAATGATAATAATGATAAAGGAAATAACAAGGGAAGAGAATACAACACCTCACCACCAGCCAACCAATAACTTGCCCCCCAAGCCCAACCAAGCTCTGACCGATACCTCCTCCAACCCTGCAGTCTCACAGCCCTTCCGGCTAACTCCCAGTTACCTCCTGGGCATGATGTGCTGTGGTATGGAATAGCTCTTTGGTCAGTTTGGGTCAGGTGTCCTGTCTCTGCTTCCTCCTGGCTTCCCCTCCTCCCTGGCAGAGCATGAGGCTCACAAAGTCCTTGGCCAAACCAAAACATCCTTGTTATCAGCTCTGTTCCCAAGCTGAAAGTCAAAACACTGCACTGCACCAGCGACCAAGGAGGAGAAAAATGACTGCTACTGCTGAACCCAGGACATCACTTCAACAAGGAATCTTCCCCAGCTGTTTGTCTCAAACAAACAAGGAGAATTCACAGGATGAGAGGAGATGCTGCACACAGGACAAAACAAGGAGCCAGTTCTGGTGTCCTGAGGGCTCTTACGGGATCACGACTCTACAGGCACCCCAGAATGACCTTCACTCAGAACCCGTTGCCTTGAGCAAGTGGTAACACGAGCTCTTACAAAGCTGATTTATCTTGCTGAGGGCAGCTCCTTGCTTTGCCCACTGGCTAGCAAGGAATTCTTGGTGGCTTGTGACAGAATCATATGTCATGCTCCATTCCGTTTCCTCTGGCTTCTCCCAAAGCCACTTGTAATGAGAGAAAAGCCTCCCAGTTTGTATACTACACTTCAGATTAGGGTTTGTCTTACTGTCTGGCATCGAGGACAAACAATTTCTGTTCTGGCTGCAAATCACAGCTCTACTCACTCTTTAAGCAGCAAAATTCTCATTCCAACTTTCATTTGGCTTAGACCTGGTTCCCAAGCAGAAAAGTTTAAACTTTCATCTTGCTACAGACCAGGCAATCATGAGATGGCTGACTTTGAGCACAGCGCAACCCTGTCAGGACAGATTAATGCTGGGATAAAGACACCAACATAAGCAGAAAAGCCACCACAGAACTTGGTGTCCTTATGTCTACTGCTGCGAATCAATGCAAACCTTTCCTAAGGGTCTGAGAGTACTTCCTCTGTTTTCCACATTATCCCTTCCTCCAACAGACAATACTGGGCTCGGCAGGAAAAGGAAGCACATATGGTTTGCACTCAATGACAGACCACTACAAGGAAAGGACACAGAGAGGCTGTGGGATTTTCAAGGACCCTCTCACAGCAGGAGTCTGCAGCACAGAAGCAGAGTTGTGCAGCTTTACAATATATGACATTATGCAGCCCCAGTAAGCATCCTTTGACTGCTTACTCTTGCATTTCAGTACGGCTTCAATAAATGCACTTGATGGTCTCAGATATCCCACAGGGAAATAAAAAAGGATAAACTACCAGCATTTGGAATTTTTGTGGTGTGGCAGTTTGCCTTTGCAAGGTGTATAATGAAGTTTCCAATAAGCCATCACCCAAAGGAATAAGCCAATACCAACACAAGCGTTCACACAACTCATGTGACAGAAAGCAGCCTGCATCTGGGCGCAGTGGGCATCCCATAAAGATCAACTCAAGGCAAAATGCAATTGTGCTTCTAAAAAACAACAGTGTCAGAGGTTTTGTTTATCTGCGTTGCAGCAATATTGCACTTGCTAAAATAAAACACTCTCTCCCTGTCTTCCAAGAAGATTACCATCATATAAAAACCAAGTCTGGAATCATTCTTTGCCTGCCTGGGGCTGCATTTAAGAATGTTATTCCTGGCCAGCTCCACTTAAAAGATCACCACCTGTATCATTTATCTAGCTGATGTGCAGCCTGGCTACCAGGCTGCAGCTGACACACAGCCAAGTCCCATGGAAAAATGGTCTGGAACTAAAAGAAATGATGTGTTGGCCTCTTGGTTGCTGGATGCCATCCATGCAACCCATAGTCAAGCCTAAAGACAATAAAGGTGCTTCAAAAAGTGCACTGCTGTCAGCCAGAACCCCAGTTTAGAGTGGGAATGTGCATTCATGTGGGAAATAACCATTTTAAGAGGTCTTTAGTGTCGCTTATTTCCACATTTTTAAAGGTTATCTGAAATCAACTGCCCAATTGGCTTGGACCAGAGAGTGTGGTTTAATCTGGTGAGGCTGCTCAGGCAAACGCCGGTGCCAAAAGCTGTTGGCATCACAAACCTAGCAACATCTCATGCCATACTGCACCCTTCTGCTGTGCCTTTGAGGCTCTTCACCATCCTAAAACAACAGCTAGGAGAAGAGAGCAGCATGGCCATTCCCTCTGCTACTCCATAAGCGCATCCCGGCTTGAATGAGGATGCTTTTGACCGCAAAGCAAGGGGAAAAGGACACGTTAACGCATATTATAGCAACCAACGAGCACAGGAAGGCAGTCAGTCACCCAGGCCCTTCTCCGGGGTGCCCCTCTCCCTGAGGGCTTGACAGGAGCCCCAGGCCCACATCAGCCACCAGAGCTCTTCCACGGTGTCCAGAGCAAAGCACAGCCATGCCCTGAGGGGGGTCACTGCCTCAGGCCCGGCCCCACAGGCGGTGGCAGCACTGGGACACCCACAGTCCATTCCCCACCACGGCCTGCGCAGGTTGCCACTCGCCCACCACATCCCCATAACCCTGCACACAAAAAGGAGGAGAAGACCCCCGCCTCGCCTATTTAAGGGCCCTTTCGACCAATCAGCGCCAGGGGCGGGATTACCGCGGACTACGAGATGTTGATTGACGAGCCTCTGAGGCGCCTCATCTCGCCGGACAGGGAGCGGGTGGAGCCAGCGCGCTGACAGCCAATCACCGGGCGCGCGTAGACAGCTCAGCCAATCCCTGTGGCGGTGGGCGTGGCCCGCTGCGGGGTCAGACCGGGAGTGAAGGCGCTTCGCTGCTCCTTCCTCTCTGCCTGCCGCTCCGCTGCCGGCTGGGACTGCTCACTGCGGGATCCCTCCGCGCCTAAGCGGTGCTGGCCGCACGGCTCCGTGCTCCTCCGCCTGCTCGCTGCCTTCCAGCGAGGGATTATTTCCCGCGGTAGTGGCGGCGGCGGGGCGGCTCCATCGCGGCGGATGGAGGCAGCCGGCGCCCGGCTGGGAGAAGGAGCCGCCCCGTAAGGGAGGAAGGACGCGGGAGCGTAGAGGCCTGCTCGGTGCTGCCGGGCCCTACCGGGCAGGGACCCCTCGGCCAGGCCGCGCCTCTAGCGCTCGGGCCTGCGCCGCCGGCGGCGGCCTCCCTCGGCGGGGCCCGGCCCGGCCCTGCCCGCAGCCGGGGGCTGCCCCCCGCGCTCCTCGCCGCCGGGCCCCCTTGTCCCCCGGGGGCCGGGCTTGTCGGGGGGGCGGGAGCGCGGAGGGGGACGCTTAGGGGGTGTCGGGGCGCCGGGCTTACGGGCCCCTCTCGGTGCGCTGCCACCCGCTCTCTCCTCCGCGACCCCCAGCAGGGTGTGCGCCCTCCGGGCCGGGGGAAGGCGGAGCACCATGGTGGAGAAGCGGTGCCCGCGGCTGCAGCGGGACGGCGTGTACCGCTGGTTCTCCGAGCTGCCGTCTCCGCAGCGCGTGGAGTTCCTGTGCGGCCTCCTGGACCTGTGCATCCCGCTGGAGCTGCGCTTCCTAGGCGCCTGCCTGGAGGACCTGGCCCGCAAGGACTACCACTCGCTGCGTGACTCCGAAATCAAGGCCAACAACCCCGCAGACCTGGGGAGCCTCACTAACCTGACCGACGAGGTGGTACGCAGCAAACTGTTGGTGTCTCTCGCCCTGCTCGGGTCTGCACACCGAGAAGCGGCCGGGGTCCTCTTCCGTACCCTCACCCACATCGATTCGGTCATCAACAACTATGGGCTACAACTCAACGAGGGCCGCACAGGGGATGAGTTCCTGTTGCTCTTTACAATGGCATCCAACCATCCTGCTTTCAGCTTCCACCAGAAACAGGTCCTGAGGCAAGAGCTCACCCAGATCCAGAATATCATGGCCAGCACCAGCAAGAATCCAAGCACCTCTACCCTCAACACCATGGCAACCTATCCTGGCTGCCATAAGGTGGGTATCCTGCTTTTGCACACCATGGTGGTACTGCTGCAGGGCACTGGGTTGTGTCTTAAGCTCTGGTTTTAAACCTTTCTTTTAGTACAGGCATTCTAGTGATAAATGGCAGCCTGAAAGACTGGTGGTGATCACTTGGTTGGTTGATGATGGGGGTGAATAACTGAGGGCAAAAAGAGGGATTCATGGACTTCTTGTGGGTTGTGGCATTCAGGTGGGGAGAAGTTCGCAAGCTGATCAACAGGCAGCAGTGTAAACCTTAACTGGTTGCTTTTGGCAGTACCTGTGCTGAGGGGACAGTCCTGCCAGTTGTGTGGAAGACTAGTGATTTAGTATGGGAAGCAAACATGCAGGTTTGGAAACAAGCATCTGTTTAAAAGTTTCCCTGGAATAAGTTGGAAAGGAGGATCAGCTGAAGTAGCTGTCCAGTGGCAAAGGCATCTTGGTGTGTCTGGGTTTTCTTCAAACAATTGTGATGGCAAACGTTCTCAGTTTCTGATTCTAAAAGAAGTGTGGTGGTTGCCTCGGAATCTTCTGAGTATTGATCTTGGTGTCACTGGTTCACTGTTATTAAATTGCTATTTGTTCATTCAGCTGCCAGCAATTAAAGTAGGCAGTAACATTTTAAGATGTGCTGTTAATTATTACATATGTTACTGAGTGCTTAAGTACTCTTGGCCTGCTGCAACTTAGGGAGTCAGACTGTCTTTTTTGACTGAATTTAACCTGCTTTAAAGTTCAAGCTAAGTGCTAGCTAGGTGGACGCATGTGATCAGTTAACAGGCTGTAGCTTTTGAGGGTGTATGGTCTCAGTCAGCAAATAACTGTGTTACCCTTTTATTGGGAAAGATGGTGTATATCTAACGGCTATGAAAATCCCTGTGTTGGAGTAGGATCCTAAATAAAGCTTTTTCTGAGGGCTCACTACAGATTGTGTTGAGTGTTTGTTTCCAGACTGAGAGAGCAATCTATGCTCAGTCTTCCCCTGAATACAAATTTCCTTCCAGTTTTGTTTGAACACTGCTGCTTCAATTGTAAAATTTAGGTGAGTATTATTAAACTTCGTATGTCTCCTGATCTTCCCTTCGCATGTCTTTAAACAGTGCTTTTTCCTGACATTTTAAGGGGAAAGAACAAGGTATGGGATTGCCCTTCTTTTTAAACCTGTATGCGAATAAAACATGGAATGAAAGATTTCATGCAGTGTGTGGAAGGGTATAATTAAAACCAGAAAAAGCTTCCTTTCAGATGCTTAACTACTTGCAACTTCCTTTATTCAAAAGATGCATGGACCTAGGCTTGAAAGGGAAGACTGTAAATCAGATACAAGTTTTCCCAAAATAAGGTGAGTAAAAAAAGATAAAGTTCTGTGGGCAGGAACTTTTTTTTAGAGTATGCTTTCAAAGCTTCACAATAGCCCACAGTTTATGTAGCTGAAAAACTCTTCCACTATTTATGTCAATCTAAGATGGACGGAGAATCCATTCTGGCATTTTTTGTGCCAGCATAAGGCAATAGGACAGTCAGTTGATGTTTTTTTATTCTTCTGCACTCATTGAAGGGTTGGCTCTTTGAAAATACTTTTTTTTAAATTTTTTTTATTTTTTAAGAAATAAGTGTTGAATACTGGCTTCCAAGTACAGGATAGTTGGAGGGAACAAAAAGATGACTTTGCTTTCATGGTCTCTTGAATATGTATTTTCTTTGAACAGGTTTCCTTTAAGATGGTTGAATATTTTCAGTGTTGATAGCTGGGTAATTTTGCTACTTTGAGAGTAAGCAGTTGGCTTAAAACAGGAGTTGGATGAAGCAAGTGGAAAAAACAATGTCTTTCTCCATTCAGCCCAGTTTAAATATGCACAAATAAATTCCAACACTGTGGACTTCGATCTTGCGATGTTATGTTGTGACAATACTTGTGCTGTAACATCACTTAAAAAAACAACAGTACAGATGTCAAGAGAAAGTGAGCGGCAGTGGGCTGCTGCCTGCCAAGAGTCCCGTGCTCTTCATCTTCTTCAGAACTGGAAGAGAATTTCTTCCCCAGTGCCAGCACTTTCTCATCACTCCTGTTGCTTTACTACAGCTGGAGCTATGTAGAGCTGGTCCTTGAAGTCAGTGCTGCGCATTAAACTGTGTGAATGCTGCTCCTCTGTTCTTAAGTGTAAACCTCTTTGAGCTCATCCTTAAAAAAATGAGCTGCAGAAATGGCCACCATTTGAGGTCCTGAGAAACTTTGGGAAGCTGGAATGGCGTGGATGTGTAACGGCATGCAAATAGGGAGCTCTTTGTGAACAGGGCTAGTTATCCCTCAGAGTTTCTCTTGTGCCAAGTGTGGGAATGGGGACTAACACTTATGTGACCACAGTTTCTTCTGTATAACTAGAGGTCCGTTACAGTTTCTGATGACTTACATTTAACTTGTTTATTCAGGGAATTGAAACAAAAAAAGTTGAACAGTGTTCTTGTTCTCTTTGCAGAAACAAATGGAAATGTGCTCCTCCTTAGTCCTATTAAAGTATGACCCAGCTTGATCTTAGCTACAACTTTTTTCCAAAGGATTGGAGCTTGCAGTCCTCTTTCCATCTCCTGTCTCTTTCGCATTTTGCAGTGAAATGTCTCGAAATTGTGAAGAGACTGAACAGTTGATAGAAAATTACTGCAAACATTTCATGAGCCTTTAAGTTACTTTGCCTCACTAACCAGCTTTATCTACCCCAAACAACTGCTTTTTGCTGTTCTCTTTTACTGTCTGCTGCAATTGCTGACCACAAGAAGGCTCGAAAGAGCTGCCCATATATTTTTGCTGTAATTTGTGCTTTTCAGAATCATTCTTGGAATATACGAATCTTAACAGGAAAAGGTGGCTGTGGCTGGCTTTACGTAGGTCAGTAATTATTAAATTCATGGTTTCTACTTGATAGTACAAAATAAACATTTTTTCCTTGCCCTAAGTAATGAGAAGTCTGCCCTCTCTATAGCAGACTATGGCTTTAGTCTTTGCAAAGAAGTTAATTTCTGCCCCCTTGTCGTCTGTTTTCTTCTTGTTTTGAATAGTATCAGTGCTTGCAGGACTTGAATTGTAAATTCTTCAAACCTTTTGGCTGTAGGCATGAAATCTGAGGTGCTAGTATGGTTTTTAAAGACTGAAACAGTGCAAATTGTCTTTAAATGCAGCCCAATCGTATGTCTGAGGTCTTTAAAAACTTTTGTTCCTGAGATTAACAGTAATAGGCTTTTTTTTTTTTTTTTTTAACTGGAAATGATGCAGCTGAGTTTTCAGGCTAATTTTACACCTGAAGATGCCTATTCGGGTGTCTTATACCTTTGCCACAAAGGAGATGGAATGGTTTTCTGGCCAGCCATCTGAAGGCTCATTTCTATGCTGTAGTGCTTAGAGCTGCAAATTCTCCTGTTTTCCTAGAGGAGGGAGGGGCTGGAAGCTTCAGGGCACATGAAAACCAGTAGTCAAATGTCTCCTGTTGTGCATGTATATATGCAGGCGCTTTGACAGGCAAACTGCCACTGCTGAATCTGTGACCAGCAGAAAAGGGAGAAATGTGTCAAAGCTGTCTCCTAACATCTTGAACCACCCATTCAGACTTCTGTTGTGCGTGCCTTGTGACAACAAACATCTGACTTTGCTATAGGTGAAAACTTAATCACTCGGGACATAACTCCCAGAACTAAAGGAGAAGTTATTAATGAATCTGTCACTTTGTATTTCTTGGACTTGCTTTCATCTGCTGAGGTCATTCTGTAAAAACAAGGAAATAAGATAATGCTTTGGTTGCTTACTTAGCTGTGCAAGCCAGCTATGGCAGGAGCTCCTCAGTGGAATTAGTGCCATGATCTGGTTGAGGCTTCAGCTGCAGAACTGGGGTCATAAATAGTAAGTCTGACTATAGTTTGTTTGCAGCTCAAAGGAAATAAGAGTCAGTGACACTGTGGTTATGTGGCTGTTTCAGGTTGCTATCTTATGAATGGGAAAAAGGGTTCTTGCCGAGTCAGTTTCCAAATACTGCACCAACATCTATTTCAAGTTTCTAGCATAAGATGCTATTTTTTGGTTCTGTTAATTCAATAGGATCATCCAAACTTTCAAAATAACTGAAGACTGTATATTGGGAGTGGTGCAGAGCTGATGTTCTGAGAGGTCCATTTCAAATAACTGCACCTTTCTGCACTGTTTACCTCAGGTGATTGAAGTTACATACTCCATCTTCAGAAATATTCTGATTTTTATTTCATCTGTGGAGTGATGAGTTGGAGAAAAGCCCTATTACTTGGGTTGAAACTGAGCCCTTACGGCCTCATGGAGTCAGCAATCTAACTATTCAGTGATCTATGCCAGCTGCCATTATGGCTTTTTTGCTATCTTTGTGCGGATAGAATAAATAAGAGAAACCTAATTTTCAGCCTCCTTACCCACTGAATGTGTTTCATAGCTTTAGATTTCATAGCTTTGGTACATTACCATGCTAATAGCAGTTAGCTAGGATTAGAGGTGTTTACTCACTGATATCAGTAGTTGCTATCTCAGGAATTATCTCATTTTCAAAAACATACAAACCTCACCTCAGGAGCTGTAGGGGCAGGTTTTGCAGCTTCCCGCTGTGGACGTGTGCCAGTCTTTGCATGTCCTTTTGGTATTCTAGGTACTTGAGGCAACACTGTTTACATGCACCTCTTCATGTTCCAGTTCAGAAATGTGAGGTTTCCAGTTCTGGCTCACTACTTACTGATACTCTCGTTTAAAAGTTTTTGTGACTCTGATAAAATGACTTGAGTCTCAAACCTGCTGTATTTTCAGAAATGAGCTTGGCATACAAAGGAATCCTTGGAAGACAATGGTGTCATGTAGTAACAATATTAATTGCCACTGAATTCACTTTGCCTGATCGTTGAGTTTAAGAACCTAAATTAATTTGCTTGGGAAATAGACTTTGCATCCAGACATCAAGGCCAGTTCGGCCAAAAAATCTGTGTTGAGCTAA